ACCCTGCAGACGGTCGTTACTGGCGAAAGTCAGTGTCTCCCTGGGAAGGGGGCGTTCTGCTTCAGGGCGCCGATTTCCGTTCTTGGTGGTGGGGTGATTCTGACACCGATCGTGGAGCTGGCTGCACACAACATGATGAATGTAATCAATGTCAGTGAATTGTTCATGTACAGATTGTTGAATTAGCAAATGTTTTGTTATATATATTTTTACCACAATTTTAAAAAATGAGGCAGAAATCAGTAATTCCCAGTCCCTCGTTAAATAAACAGAGCCCTGCTAGTGCAGTGGTTAAGCGTTCGGCTGCTAACCAAGAGGCTGGCAGTTCGAATCCACCAGCCGCTCCTTGGAAACCCCTGTCCTATAGGGTCGCTATGAGTAGTCCACGTCTCTGACGGCGGCTGGTGGATATGGGGCCAGGGAATCCACGTGGGCAGTGAGTCAGTCACCCTGCCCTCCCAGGTCTCTGCCTACACATTGTCTGAGCTCCATGCAAGTTAACCCCATGAGTTAGCAGCCCTCTCCCCTTCTCCCACATTCTCCCATGCCAACAGTTTTTGGAAGGCTGCTCACGCCTGGCACAAGAGCAGCGGGAACCCGCAGAGCTGACAGGGAGCCTCCGCAGTTGGAGACTGTACGTCTGTGGTATTTGCACCTGTCTGACCTGCAGATAGACATTCAGAGCCATCTGCCCACACACCCTCCGCCCTTAACATCAGGCTGGGATTGCCAAGTCCCAGAGGGTCAGGTCGGACCAGAGGGTCAGGTCAGGTCGGACCAAGGGGCAGCAGGGAGCTGGAGAGCAGGTGAGGGTCGGGAGAACTCTCTGACCTGTGAGCACTGCCTCCTGTGCTGGGAAGTGCCTGGAAGGGGCACGTTGCTCTTCCAATCTGAGCTCTCTGCGAGGCTGTCACTCTGTTTGCAAAGCACAAAGCATTGCCGTTGGGAAGTCCAAGGGAAGTTAACTTTGGGCTGGTGCTCTCGTTGGGCCTACTTAAATTAAACCACATTCTAGAATAATTGGGATGCAGGAAATGAGGAGGTATTCTAGACACAGAAAATGACCCCTGCACACGGCTGAACCAGTGTGACCCACCCAGGTCACTTGGCCTGACTAAGGGAAGATACTGTTATCATGTCACCCAGCATTGCTTAATACACGCCATCAGCACCCAGGTGTGCACGGTCCTCACCCAGATGACACACAGGTGCACTGACCAGGTCCCCGACACCACTTAATACACGTCATCAGCACCCAGGTATGCATGGTCCTCACCCAGATGACGCACAGGTGCACTGACCAGGTCCCCATCAGCGCTTAATACATGTCATCAGCACCCAGGTGTGCACGGTCCTCACCCAGGCAACACACAGGTGCACTGACCAGGTCCCCATCACCGCTTAACACACGCCATCAGCACCCAGATGTGCAGCGCACAGTCCTCACCCAGGTGACACACATCTGCACTGACCAGGTCCCCATCACCTCCTGGTTATCACCACCGGGAGGAGGGAAGGGAGGAAGAGAAGGAGGGAATAAGGGAGGGAGGGATGGAGTGGAGGATGGAAAGAGGGGAGTTTGAGGGAGGGAGGGAAGCAGGTAGGGGGAGCTCTGGGCCTGCATTAGGATGGTGATGGAGTGGAGGAGAAAGAGAACAGGTGAGGGTTGCCAGCTGGTGGATGACAACACAGGGGAGCTGGCTCCAGGGGTCTGGTGGCCCAGGTGACCCTGAACCAGGACGTCCAGAACAGAAAGGGGGATTGGACAGGAGCCGGTGGCCGAAGTGGGGATTCGACACAGGACCAGCTGGGTCCCAGGTCAGCTCTCCTGGCCATCACACCCACGGCACCCAAGTGGCCCCGCTGTGTAAACCTCCCTGTGGTCGGTATTCCGTGTTGGGTGGGGTGACAGGGTGGACAGGAAACGTTTGCTGCGTGCACGGGAGGAGGGGGAGGGAGAGCGGAAGGTTAGCTTCCGGCCTCAACTGGGTCACCCCGGGTCAGCCCAGGAGGACGAAGTGGCCCGAGGGGTAGACGCAGCACTGGGCAGGAAGCCAATCCACGGGAAAGGCCCCTCCTGCACTTCTCCCACGGCGGAAGGGCTCTTAGGAGCTGCCTGAAGAGGGCCACCTCCCTGGTCACATCCCACCAGGCTTGCTCAGAGGTCAAAGGCCACTCTGCCCAGGGATGTTGCAATGGCCGCGCTGGGTAGACAGGGTGACCACAGGGTCCCCGGGGCCAGCGGCTAGGGGGCAGTCTGTGCCCGTTGTCCCCTCTGTGAAGGTCCCCTCGCTGACCCCTAAGACCCTGTGGGACACTCTACCGACCCTTGGGCCGCGCAGTCTGGGTCAGTGTGAACCGGCGGGGGCGGCTGTCACAGCAGCTCCGTGGCCGGGTCGCGCAGATCCGGACACGTGCAGCCCCGCCAGGCCACTCCCTCCCTGGCACCCAGCCTGCGCATGAGTGTCTGGCAGCCAATCCAGTCCGGCTGTGAGTTTAGGAAGTGCTTGTCCTCCCCGCTGGGAAGACAGCAGCAGCCTAGCTGCGGGGACTTGACCGGGACTCAGCGGACTCGGAGGTGAGCGCCGCCCGTGTGCGGGTCAGGGGCGCCGAGAGCTGGGGTGTCGGGAGCTGGCAGGTGTAGGGCGGTGTCGGCCCCCCTACAATGAAGGACACAGGGGGGACCCCAGGGTCCTCGCTCATCCCCTGAGCCGGGGCAGCTGGAGGGGGCCGAGCGGGGGCGCGGAGGGGCCCGGCACCCGGGCTGGAGCAGCGCGCGGGGCGCCTCCGCGAGTCCGGACGGGGAGTGACCTTCCAGGCGGGGTCGCAGCCAGCGGGCGGACCCCCTGGGGCCCAGGACCGCGAGCTCGGTACAGGCCTGGCCTGGGGCTCAGGGCTTCTCTGTCCCCGCGGGGAGCGCGCGGCCGGGGCGGAAGGGCTTTCCAGCGCAGAGTGAGTGCGGCCGGGATGTGGCAGTGGGCGGCCAGGCGCCGGCTGCTCACCCCACAACTATTTACTGAGTCCTGAGCCGCTGTCCAGGCATCTGGGCATGCGGGACGGGGACAGGTACACGGAGAGGGACAGACAGGGCCGGGGACGGGATGGAGGAATGTGGGCGGGCGGCCGGGCCCGCGCAATCACCGGCTGCTCACCCCACAACTATTTACTGAGCCGTGGTCCGGGCATCCCGGCGTGCGGGACCGGGGCAGGGACACTGGGACAGGACAGGAAAAGCTTCCCCGGACTCAGAATGGGGACGCCCTGGGGGTGTCGCGCTGGCGATGCCTGAGCCGGGCCACCCTCCGGGCGCGGTTTCAGAGTGTCCCCACATTCTTTAGACGCCCTGGATTCTGAGACCCAGGGGGAGGAGGCCCCGCTGCAGAGGGGTCAGTGGGGATGGCTGCAGCCCAGGTGTGCTGTGGGAAGGGGCCAGGCTCTTGAGACTTGAGGAAAGCGGGCAACAGCTGTCTGTTGGGTATTTGCTGGAGAGTTGTGCGAACGCTGAATGAGCCCCGGGACTCAGCTCAGGAGGAGGGAGGAGTGCACAGGTGAGCAAGGTCAGAGCACCCGGGAAGTTGAGGGCTGGCCGGTTCAGTGTTTGTGCCCCAGCTGCGGGGGGGGGGGGGGGGGTGGAGCGGATTTTCCTTCTGACAAGGACAGTCTGCTGCCTGCACAGATGGGGCAGGAAGGGGGCAGGTGCCCTGGGGCAACAGGTAACCCCAGACTCCTGTACCTGTAGGGAAAGGTGGGGGAGGATGTGGGGGACAGGAGGTGACAGGACCCCTCAGTGGAGAGGTGACCTGGGGTCCTGTGAGGAGAAGTGGGGGACAGGAGGTGACAAGGAATACCTGGCAGCACAGAGACGTGGTTGAGTATTTGGTCTCTGGCCTGAGGCAGCTCCCCCACCCCCCAGCTCCCCTGTGACTTGAGCACCTTTCTTTCCCTCCCCCCCTTGTCGTGTGAGCTGGACGCAGACCCCTCTTGGTTTTGGTGGGTCAGGCAGAAACACCCCCACTGAGGATGCCCTTGAAGCACGTTAGCCCTGGCTGGCCTGGTGACTCGGGACCAAGGCGGAGTACGTGCCTGCAGTCCCTGCTGGGGACTTCCTCCCACCTAAAGTGCGGAGTTCCTATGTCCACTTTGCAAAGTCATCGAATTGGGGATGGAATTTATTTCTCTTCTGTCTCAGCACGGATAGCGTAAGCCCCAGGAGTACTCAGTTAAGGCTTGAAGTCACGAGGTGATATCCCCACGAAGGAACAATTACAATCACTGTAGTGTAACTGCCACCCTTGGCGTTGCTGGCGTCGAGAGTGTACTGTCGATGAAAGTCAGGTTCATCAGAGCACATCCTGTGAGGCTGCGGCAAGGTGGGTGGGCCGGGGGAATGTATGGAGTGGGTACAAGAAAAGGGTGGTGATTTCTCAGAATTCAGGTTTACGTTTACAGCCCCTGGTGGAGCAAACGGTGAACAGGCTTGGCTGCTCACCCAAAGGTTGGAGTTTGAGTCCATCCCGAGGTGCCTCGGAAGAAAGGCCTGGCAATCTACTTCTGAAAAATCATCCATTGAAAATCCTGTGGAGCACAGTTCTACTCTGACACACATGGGTTGCCACGGGTCGGGGTGGACTTGATGATGACCATTTATAGGGTGTGGGGTTTCCTTCCTGCCCGGTGAGTGTTGTTCGGGAGACCCGGGGTCCCTGTGTGTGATCAGCTGGGTCACCTCTGCCTACGTTCATTCATTCATTCAGGGGTGTGAGAGGGGTTGAGGTCACCTGAGACCGTCTCTCCCCAAAGGGTTATGGGGCAGCCCTTCACACAAACCTGCTCAGCAGCCGGATCCTTGTTTGATCCTGTGTTACAGCTTTGGATTTATCTCGATAAAGATCAGGACACCTGCCAGCTGTGGTCACCCAAAGTCTTCTCCTTTATGTTACAGGAGCTCTGTAGACGCCGAGGAGACGTTTCCAGGTGCAAAACAGCTGTTTTCATCCTATTGGTCGGAGAATTGAGGCGGCGATTTGGAGAACTCACATCTGCTGGTTGTAAGTCCAGTCGACGTTTGAGGTGAGACATTGGCACCTGAGTTGAGCTGAGGGGCGTGCAAAGGGCCTGTGGTGAGCTGGCAAATGGTCAACAACCAGCTCTACAGAAAAGTTTGCCTCTGTAGGCACACAGTTTATTATTATATAAACAGAGACAGAGGATGCACAAGTAACAAGTGATAATGCAATGAAACCCGTGAGAGCCGGAACTAGACGGGGCTGCCTTGTTTCTCCGGGTCTCAAAAGTTTTCCGCCTTTGACAGGGTGCAGTCTTACAACTTTTCTATTGCTCATTCTAGTGGAAAATAGTTGCGTTTTCCTTCTCTGACAGGTTTCTGCCTTACACAGGATCTGGATTTCGCAGGTTTTACCATATATAAGCTGTTCCTTGTCTTAGTGGTTGAGTTATCTAGTGCTGCTATAACAGAAATACCACAGTGGGTGGCTTTAACAAACAGAACTTTATTTGCTCACAGTTAAGAGGCTAGAAATCCGAATTCAAGGCGCCGGCTCTGGGGAAGGCGCTCTCTGTCGGCTCCGGGGGAAGGTCCTTGTCTCAGCTTCTCCAGCCATCCATCCTTGGAGTTCCTGGGCTTGCAGACAGCTCTGCCTTCATCATCTTCAGAAGGTGTGGGTCTTCCCCTCCTGTCTCTGCTTGCTTCCGTGTCTGCTCTTTTTTCTCTCAAAAGTGATCGTGTGTGTTAAGACACACCCAACGCTGGTAGGACCTTATTAACGTAACAAAGAGAACCCTTTCCCTAATGGGATTACATCCACAGGTATGTTGTTGTTAGTGGATCCCAACTCACGGTGACCCCCACAGGTGTCAGAGTAGAACTGTGCTCTGTAGGATTTTTAAGGCTGTGACCTTTCGGAAGCCGATTGCCAGGCCTGTCTTCCAAGGTGCCTCTGGGTGGGTTTAAACTGCCAACCTTTCGGCTAGTAGTGGAGTACTTAACTTTTTGCATCACCCAGGGACTCCTTCCACAGGTGAGTCGGTTCCAACTCCTAGTAACCGTATAGGACAGAGTAGTACTGCCCCAAAGGGTTTCCAAGGCGCTAATCTTTGCGGAAGCTGACTGCCACATCTTTCTCCCGCAGAGCGGCTGGTGGGTTTGAACCGCTGACCTTTTGTTAGCAGCTGAGCACTTAACCACTGAGCCACTAGGTCTCCTTTCCACACGTATAGGTGTTGCTGGGAACTCTGGGTTCTGCTCGGCGCAACTCCATCCAGGGCCAAAACAACAGAAACCGAGTTGGGGAGAACGAAAGGCAACTTTATCAGTTGGCCAAGCAAGGAGACAGTCAGGGCTAAGTGCCATCCAAGACTGCTCGCAGGCAGCTTGCTGAGGCTGGTTTATATAGGCAGGATCAATTTCAGAATACAAAATGGCATGCGTGCAGGCGCGGAGCGTTCCAGAATGAGTAAGCATTTTCTAGGGCCGGGGTTCAATTCCCTGTGCAGGAGGCAGTTAGCCACTGCTGTTCATTAGCATGTCAGCTCTCCCCGCAGGGGTGCTTGAGGCAGTTAATGAGCAAAAGGTCATCTGGAGTGCCAAGATGGAGGGCAGGACCTGTTTCAGCCGATTCCAGCTCGCAGGAGGCCGATTCTTTTCAAGGAAGTTCTGAAGAGAAAAACAACTTCAGGAAATGGGCCGGGTGAGGGGCTGTCCTAAGACAACAATTCTAAGAAAATGGCTCTGGCCCTGTCTTATGGGTGTGAGGATTCCAATACATATATTGGGGGACACAATTCCATCATAACACTCTTTACTGTAAATTCCAAGGATTCCAACACATATACTGGGGGACACAATTCCATCCATAACACTCTTTACTGTAAATTCCGTGTAGCCAGTTGATTCACCCAGAAAGCTTTGGCTGATTTTTGCCAAACCCGTGTGTCCACGTTCAACCTATTGCTGCAGTTGACCGACAAGTGTGTTTCCCACATGAATGTTGGTTGATGTTTCCTCTTGAATTAGTAAGTAAGACAACGAACTTAACGTTATGACAAAATTCTACTTGTTCCACAATGACCTGAGGACTTCTTTGCTGAATTGGATCTTTGAATATTGAAAGAATATTTTCTCTTTTTTTTTTTTTTTTTTTTGCTATTTGTAATGTAATGACTCCTTTTTTACTACTTTTTTCCTTTTCCTTTCTTATTGTGGTGAAAATATATACAACAAAACATTCGCCAACAAAGCAACAGGCACAACAGACTTTTAAGCTTACGCTGCATCAGTAACATTTTCTCCATCCAGACAATCAACAACACAATCCTAAAGCAAGCCCTGGTTTGTAGCGTTTGCCAATTGCTGTGGTGTAAATACTCCTGCCTTGGCCAATTTCAAGCTACTAGCCTGGGCGTGGAGTTGGGAAGAAACAGGCTTGCCATTGTGTAGTACTGCCACAGACAGATGCTGTAAGAAAAAATAGCTACCATGTAGTCGACCTCCACTCATGGTGATCCCACGTGTGTCAGAGTAGAACTGTGCTCCACAAAATTTTCGAAGGATGATTTTTCAGAAGTGGATCACCAGGCCTTTCTTCTGAGATGCCTCTGGGTGGACTCAGACCTCCAACCTTTGGGTTAGCAGCGGAGCACATTCACCATTTGTGCTACCAGGGCCCCCTGCAGATGCTATAGGTGTCAAGAATGGCAGCAGAGTTGATGATAGTAAATCATGGGGCAGAGCAGTGGGCTCTGAGTATTTGCAACCTTTGTTTTTAGTATAATTTATTCAGTTACAAGATGATGATTTAATTATTCATCATGGCTGTGTTTAACAACTGGCTCAATTTCTGAACCTTTAATCACTGACATCTGTGACAGCCGGCCCTGCCCCCAGGCCTCAGCTCCTTGGAGGTTCGGAGAAAGGGGGCAAGAGGTCTTTGCTTGAAGCGAGGGGGTGAATCCTGTGGGATTTCCAGGCAGCCTTGTGTGTCTAGGGACATCAGACCCACTGACTCCCAGCCAGCACCTTCCTGAGCCTTACACCAGACGCTGCTGGCTGCTGACCAGTCCTGGGAGGGCGGGGTTACAGGCCTGGCCTTGGCCCTGATCCATGATCAGTCCTGGTGGGGTGGGGGGGTCTTGGCCTCAGTCCCTCGTCAGTCCTGGGCGGGGAGGGTGGGAACTGCAGGCTAAGCCTTGGCCCCGATCCTCGCAGCACGGCAGACACCTGGATGGAGGACGCTCAGGTATAGGCTCCCCGGGCAGAGTCCAGCCTCCAGACTGCCAGAATGCTTGGCTCCTGAACGCCGCACGCCCCCTATGAGGTGCTGTGCTCGCTCCTGGGGGGACACTGATGAGCCAGAAGAGGGCTAAGAAAGGGCCAGGGAACTGCAGGTTTGCCCCGGGGAAGGCACGCTGGTCGGTGTCTACAGGACTCTGTTACAGACCCCAAGAGTTCCCGGGTGATGCAAGCAGTGAACATACTCACCGCTAGCTGAAAGGCTGGAGGTTCGCGAGTTTACCCAGAGGCGCCTCAGAATAAAGGCCTGGCGATCTACTTCTGAAAAATCATCCATCGACAACCCTGTGGAGCACGGTTCTACTCTGACACCCACAGAGACGCCATGAGTTAGAGCCGACGCGGCAGCAGCTGATGTTTTTTGTTTTGTTTTGAATTCACATCAGAGGAACCGAGGGCGAGAGCTGCTCAGTGACATGTCCCCAGTCACACTGGTGAAAAACGGTAGAAGCAGGATTAGAACGGAGGCCGGATCTGACCTGATGGCCGCGCCTTTACCCACGACACGACGCTATTCCGAATGGCGTCCCCACGTGGTTTAGGTGGGCTGCTAAGGCCTTCCTGCGATGGAGCCACACAGCGGATGTTTTCCATGGATGTGAGCACTGACCACAGACACTCTCGGTTGTGAACAGTCAGCTGAAAGCATAGTTCAAATCCAGCCCAATCCACTCAATACCAAGTTTGATACAATTTTTTATAACAAAATATCAGTTAAAGAAAAAAAATTAAAATATTGCAGATCCCTGTCAATATGCTAAAAAATTTACCACGTTCTAAGAAGTGATGATGTCAGCTCTTCCTCAAAATCAAATTTCTACAGTCAGACTAACCGGCCGGCAGACACGGGCTCACTTTAAATTCCTGTGGTTTTGGTGGTTGTCATTTTATAATTATTCCCTTTATGTTATCTGGTTTTCCTTTGTAAAATTACATGCTATATATAATACGTAGTATATAATAATGCATTATAAAATTATATGACAATAGTCTATAGAATATATATTTACTATATATCATATTTGGCAGACATAACAGATATTACATAATGTGTATCATATGTTGTTGCTGTTGTCGTGTGCCATGGAGTCCCTTCTGACTCATGGTGACCCTACAGGACAGAGTAGAACTGCCCCATGGGGTTTTCCAGGCTGTAATATTTATGGGAGCAGATCGCCAGGTCTTTTCTCCCTCAGAGTGGCTGGTGGGTTTGAAGCACACCTTTCAGTTAGCAGCTGAGCACTAAGCATTGGTACACTGGTAGAATTCTCACCTTCCATCTGGGAGACCCAGGTTCAATTCCCAGCCAATGCACTTCATGAGCAGCCACCACCCATCTGTCAGTGGAGGCTTAGGTGATGCTATGATGCTGAACAGGTTTCAGCCAAGCTTCCAGACTAAGACTAGGAAGAAAGGCCTGGCAATCTGCATCTGAAAATCAGCTCATGAAATCCTATGGATCACAATGTTCTGATCCCCAACCAATCACAGGGATAGTTCAAGACTGCGCAGCGTTTACTTCCATTGTGCATGGGGTTCTCATGAGTCTGGGGCTAACTCAGTGGCAGCTGACAACAATATGCATGACATTGTATAAGGAGCCCTGGTGGCACAGTGGGTACAGTGCTCATGCTCGGCTGCTAACCAAAAGGTTGGCAGTTTGAACTCACCAGCCGCTCAGCAGGAGAAAGTTGAGGCAATCTTTCTTAAAGATTTACAGCAGTGGAAACCCTATGGGGCAGTTCTACTCTGTCCTATAGGGTCACTATAAGTTAGAATCAACTCCACGGCAATTGTATATTATATGTTACATCCTCCACCCCCAATCTTGTCTTCACCCTCCATCCTCCATCTTGTATCTGTCCTCCACCTTCCATCTTGTATCCGCCCTCCATCTTGTCTCTATCCTCCATCTTGTTTTGACCCTCCATCTTGTCTCCACCCTCCATTCTCCATCCTGTCTCCACCCTCCATCCTGTCTCCACCCTCCCTCTTGTACCGAGTCTCCATCTTGTAACCATCCTCCATCTTGTCTCCACCCTCCATCTTGTCCCCACCCTCCATCCTGCATCTTGTATCCACCCTCCATCCTCCATCCTGTCTCCACCCTCCATCTTGTCTCCACCCTCCACCCTCCATCCTGTCTCCACTCTCCTTCTTGTACTGACTCTCCATCTTGTAACCATCCTCCATCTTGTCTCCACCCTCCATCCTGCATCTTGTCTCTACCCTGCACCCTCCATCTTGTCTCCACCCTCCATCTTGTCTCCACCCTCCATCCTGTCTCCACCCTCCATCTTGTAGCCACCCTCCATCTTGTCCCCACCCTCCATCCTGCATCTTGTATCCACCCTCCATTCTCCATCTCCTATCCACCCTCCATCTCATTGTGCTGGAGAGATTCTATCCCACTACAGAATCATGGGAGCCTTTGGGTGGTGCAAACAGTGAACACATTCAGCTGCTAACCAAAAGGATGGAGGTTTGAGTCCACTCAGAGGTGCCTCAGAAGAAAGGCCTGGCATTCCACTTCTGAAAAATCAGCCATTGAAAACGCTGTGGAGCACAGTTCTACTCTGACACACGCAGGGTCACCATGACTCGGAGTCAACTCCTTGGAACTGGGCGTTTTGTCACAGACCCCAGAGGGGAACGTCTTCTTATTGCTCAGTGTTAGGACAGAACCACGGGTGGAGTGTCTGGTGTGCTTTGCACAGAATCAAGGGGGCTTTCTACAGCTAGAGAAGTTAGGGGACCCAGGCCACCTGCCAACCAGAGGGGACTCTGCCCTCTCCAGGAGAGAGGTCACCCAATGCTGGGAACGGCTAACACACTGAGTGGGTAGGTGGGCCCGTTCTGCGTGGCTCCCGCGCGTGAGCTCACAGAGGCCCCAGGAGGCAGGCAGTGTTGCCATCCCATTTCACAGGTGGGAAGCTGAGGCACAGTCAGAAGGTGCCTAGGTCACAAGTTGTCCAAGGTTAGTATGGCCTCAGCACTTCCCTAGGAGGGTGAGGTCCCACAGAATGGCAGAGGGGGCAGGAGGCAGTCCTTCTGGAAAGAGCGGTGTGGGCCAGGGTGGGGTGGCCTGGCTCCCTGCATCCTCGTCGTCAGCCCCCATATCTGTGCAGGGCAGTTAGTCACATACCCTACCTGTCCGCTCATCATGAGTGGGAATTCAATACGAACGCGGAGTATCTGACAAAGGGCTGTGCTCAGAACACAGCTGCTAGACCGTAATTTAAGGACTGGTCACTTCCCTTCCATCTGTGGTCTTGAAAAGCCCAGGAGGAAAGGTGCTGCAGAACTGTGGAGCAGTAAACCCGAAATAACAGCATCTCCAGTGCAAATGAAAGTTTCTACACACATCCAGTGTGAATGAACGTTTCTACACACACCCGGTGTGAAGGAACGTTTCTGCACACACCCGGTGTGAAGGAACGTTTCTACATAACACCCGGTGTGAATGAATGTTTCTGCATAATAGCCAGTGTGAATGAACGTGTCTACATAATACCCAGTGTGAATGAACATTTCTACACACGCCCAGTGTGATGAACGCTTCTGTATACGCCCAGTGTGAATGAACGTTTCTACACACGCCCAGTGTGAATGAACACTTGTGTATATGCCCAGTGCGAATGAACGTTTCTGTATACGCCCAGTGTGAATGAACGTTTCTGTATACACCCAGTTTTGCACTGGCGAGAACATGGAGAATTGGAATTCCTAACATGTCTGGGAAGCGCATGTTAGCAAACAGAGGTGGGAATTTGACAAGGAAGCAATTGCACATTTTTGGCTGCTTCCTCTGCCTCTCTTGCCTCCCTCCCTGCTATCTCTATCTCTGTTGGTCTCTGTTTCTCTGTCTCTCTGACTGTCTCTGTCTCTGTCTCTCCTCTCTCAGAGGTCTCTGCCTCCCTCAGACTCTCCCCGATCCCTCCGCCCTCCGGACCACATCATCGTCTCCCGGAGGAAATCTGTTGGTAATTTTTTTTTTCCAAGCCACAACCCCTGTGTAAAAACCCTTTGGCGTGGAGTGGATTCCACTCATAGCAGCCCTATAAAACATGCACCCTTTTCAACTCTGCAAACCTCCATTCCTTCCTCAGGCTCAGGCCCAGGGTTCGCCTCCGATGGGCGGGCGGGTGAGCACTTCTAGCAGCTTCCAGCACCTGTGCCGCACCAATGCCGACTGGATGTCGCAGCTGCGTCCCCAGCTCTGGGAAGTCCCCCTGCACCACCTCTCCATCCCAGGTGAGCGGACCCGTGCACACACCACATGCACACCCACCACGCGCACACACACACACCCACACACACACACACACACACCACCTCTCCATCCCAGGTGAGCGGACCCGTGCACACACCACATGCACACCCACCACACGCACACACACACACCCACACACACACACACACACCACCTCTCCATCCCAGGTGAGCGGCGCTCTGGCAGCATTCTAGGTGGGGTTCTGGCAAGGGTCAGTTCTGGGCTGTGAGAAAACCCCACACACCTTCACGTGTGTGTGAGCAATGTACACACACCACACACACACACCTCCCTACATGTACACGTACATACACACACCATACCACATACATACGACACGCACACCCACAGACTCTCACACGCATACATACATACTGTATACACGCGCCACATACCACATGCACACTCACACCACATGCACATACACATCACACCCACCACACATACACACTACGTGCACGTACACACACACTATATGCACACACACACACTATACCACACATAGCACACACATATACACACCGTATACCCACACCACTCACATGCACACCCTATACACACACACCACACGTATATATACCACACACACACCGTATACACCATAGACAAACATACCACACACTGTACACACACACACCTGTACACACTACACACACACCCCATATATACACACCCCATTCACATAGACACATATACACCACACACCACACCACATACACACACTCACTTCTCCTTTCTCTGTCTGCATCACTCCTGATACTGCGTCAAGGCACACAGCGCCCCTCTAGGAAAAAGGTAGCTTCCAGGAGATGTGCAGCAGCCTAAGTGGTTGGGGCTTAAGCCTCCCTTTCCTTCCTCCCTCCTTCCCTCCCTCCCCGTTCTCCCTTCCTTCCTTACCCCTTCCTTCCTCCTTCCCTCCCTCCTCCTCCCTCCTTCTTCCTTCCCTCCCTTCCCTTCCCTCCCTTCCTCCTCCTTCCCTCCCTCCCTCTTCCCTCCCCCCTCCCTCTGTCCCTCCTGCCTTCCTCCCTGCCTCCCCTCCCTTCCTCCTTCCCTTTCTTCCTGGAGAACTGCCTCCCCTCACCCATTAGCTCTTCAGGGACTTCCTACGCACCAGGAACACCGCACTTGTCTGTTTTTATCACAAAGATGCTGCACAGGGCAGCGCCCCGCAGGGGATTTCTGGGTCACAGGGTAGCTCCTCGGGTAACCCTGTGAGGGGCCGCTACCTTCTGTCTTCATGCAGAGGGTCCCGTCTCCCCATACCCTCTCGGGAGCTGGAGATTTTGGGTGGCCTGGGCAGTGGGCCCTCCGTGTCGAGGTTAATTACGAGTCACCTCAGTGGGGTCTAAGGAAAGGGGTCTGGGGGTCCAGCAGCCCCTCGTAGCAGTGATGGCTTGCCTGCCATGGACCACAGAGGTGCAGGGACTCACGGTGACCAGGCAGAGTGAGGGGAGGTTGAGGCAGTGAAGCTCCCGCTTTTAATGTTATGTTAGGACAACTGGCATATTCCCATGTGGTTGTGTTGACGCAGGATCTTTAAAGGGAGAAAAAAGATGTGCCTGTGAAGGTGGGAGTACGATGGCCACATCGGGCGGTATATTTGCACTTTGGCTATTTTCAAGTACAGCGTGATTGCACAGAGCAAACAGTGGCATAGTTTGGTCCTGTTCTCTAGTTAAAAATTCCTGTGTAGACACCGCAGAGTCACTAGAGGAGGACTCGTTGTTTGTACTTGTCTGCATGTTCTCATCTTCTGCACGTGCCTGTTCTCTGAGTTTCTTGCCGCGACAAAGGCCCACGGACTGGGCGGCTCATAAGAACAGGACCTTGTTCTTTCCAAGTTCTGGGGGCTGGGGGTCTGAGATCAGAGGGTCGGCCGTGTCGACTCCTTCCGAGGCTCTGAGGGGGATCCTGTTCCCTGCCACTCTCCCAGCTCCAGGTGGTTCCTTGCTGTGTAGACACGTGGCCCCGCTGTCTGCCTGTCTTCACGTGACCATCTTCCCTCTGTGTGTCTGTCCGTGTGTCTCTTCTATAAGGACATTGTTAAGATGGGATTTAAGGAGCCCTAGGCACCATGAGTCAGAATTGACCCGATGGGAACGGCTTTGGTTCTTTTTTTGGTGGCCCGGGGGCTAAGCGCTCAGCTACTAACTGAAAGATTGGAGGCTTGAACCCACTAGAGGCTCCAAAGACCTGGCGATCTGCTCCTGTAAAGCGTACAGCATAGGAAACCCGATGGGGCAGTTCTGCTCTGTCGCGTGAGGTCGCCATGAGTTGGCACCCAACAGCAGGAAGATGAGATTAGCACCCACCCTCCTCCAGTATGACCTCATGTTAACCTAACTGATAACATCTTCAAAGCCCTCATTTCCAAACAAATCACCTTCCCAGGTACCGCGGTTAGGCTTTTATCTTTTTGGGGACACAGTTGAGACCACTCCACTGTGGGGTAAAAACCTACCTGGTTCCTCACGTGTAGCTACAGGCGAGCGTGTGCGGGGGTATCTCAGATGAAATGTCCCCTCGTGTCTTGCGTCCAGGGAGCCACGACACCATGACCTACTGCTTGAACAAGAAGTCCCCAATTTCCCAGAAGGAGTCCCAGCTGCTGCAGCTCCTGAGCAAAGTGCTGCCCTTCATCACCCGCCCCTTGGTCTTCAAGTGGTCGGTCACACAGGTAGGGGCTCTGTGGTGCCCACCTGGTAGGGAGGCAGGACCCCATGCCCTGATCCCCTGGGTTGTCCCCTGACCCCCATTCAGCCTGCCCTGGTGCAGATGGGGGTTATAGGAACTGGGGGGCTGGCGGGGGCAGTTCGGGGTAGGGTGGCGTGGAGAGAGAGGAAGGGGTGTTGCAGCATGTACCCCTGGGGCTGCCCCAGGCTGGGGAGGGGGCATCGCTGCTGGCTGTGGTCCTATCCCCGTGCACAGGCAGGTATGGGTGCCAGGGGCCTGGGAGGCACCTGTTGTCCCTGGCTGGCTGTGTGTGGCGGGGGGGGAGGGAGGGGCAAGGGGAATACAGGTGCCCCAGGCCCGAGGGAATATCCGGGGAGAAGCGTATTGGTTTTGTTTTCCTTTATTTTATTTTTATGTCATTTGGTACTTTTTCTGTTATTATTTTGTGAGAAGGAATAGCGCCATTTTCTTTTCCTTTATTCACCTCTGTAGTAATTTTTGGGTTTCCTCGTGTTACTCTGTGTGGAGTGGTTTAAGTCCGTCTTCACGTTAATGTTGGCCTTTTTCTGTTACTATTTCCTGTAGAGGGCATGGTGCCTCTGTTTTCCTTTATTCTAATATCTGTTTTGCTTATCCCGTTATTCTTTTGTGAGGACGTGGTGCCATTTCCTTTTCCTCTATTCCACCTTTATGTGAATTTGCTTCTCTTTGTGCTATTTTGTGGGGCCCCTCCCATGCCGCCACAGCCCCTCCCCCACGCTGTCCTGGGTCAGGGTCCCCATGAGTCCCCATGGCCCCCTGGAGTCCGCTCTGGGTTGCTGGGAGCCGTGTGAGGTTCTGGGGTCCCTGGTGGCCCCTCTTGGTGACAGCAGGAAGCAGGTGGGGGCCCTGCAGAGATGCCCTGAGGTCCATATAGGGGGACAGTGGCTACAGGGACAGAGCCAGCAGAACTGCACGATGTGCCTGCTAAACGTGGCCTGTGTTACCCAAGGATGGGTCCCCAGCGCCGGCCCTCCACGCCTCAAGCCCCTGTGTGTGGTGACAGCTGTCTCCCACACTATGATACCTGGTCATCAGCCCAGCTGTCCTGGCTCAGGATGGTGACCGGCCAGCGGCCCTGGCCGGAGAGAAATGCCGCTGTTTGTCTGCAGGTTCTGAACATCACAGAGCAGCTGGATGTGGGGGTCCGGTATCTGGACCTGCGGGTGGCGCACATGGCGGGGGGCTCCGAGAAGAACCTGCACTTCGTGCACATGGTCTACACGA